AATAGCCACAGCAATCTTGAAAAAGAAGGATAAAGTAGGAAAGATCACAATACTGGATATCAGGTTATACTACAAAACCATTGTAATAAAAAAAGCCTGGTACTTGCACAAGAACAGACATATAGATTGATGGAACAGAACAGAGAACCCAGAAATCGACCCAAGACATGCTCAATATTTGACAAAGGCGGCAAGAGCATACAATGGAGTAAAGACAGACTCTTTAATAAATGGTGTTGGGAGAATTGGACAGCTACATGCAAAAAATAAAACTAGACCACCAACTTATACCATACACAAGAATAAACTCAAAATGGATAAAAGACTTAAATGTAACTCATGAATCCATAACAACCCTAGAAGAAAATGTAGGCAGCAAAATCTCAGAAATCACACAGCAGAATATTCACTGATACATCGCCTAGGAGAAGAGAAACAATTAATGCATGGGATTAAATCAAACTAAAAAGCTTCTACACATGAAAAGAGAAAAGCATCAATATGAAAAGGGAACCCACTGTATGGGAGAACATAACTGACGATGGTAAATGAGATAAGGGGTTAATTTTCAAAATATATAGAGTATTCATATGACTCAGCAAAAGGAAGACAAAGAACCCAATTAAAAAGTGGGCAGAAAACGTAAATAGACACCTCTCCAAACAGGACATACAAATGACCAAGAGACATATGAAGAAATGCTCAACATCACTAATCATCAGAGAGATGCAGATTAAAATGATTATGAGGTATCACCTCACACCTGTCAGAATGTCTGCTATCAGCAAAACACCAAACAACAAGTGCTGGTGAGGGTATGAAGAAAAGGGGACTCTAGTACACTGCTGGTAGGAATGCAGATTGGTGCAGCCACTATGGAAAACAATATGGTGCTACCTCAAAAAATTAAAAATTGCACTGACATTTGACTCAGTGATCCCACTTCTTGGAATATATCCTAAGAAGCCTGAAACACCAATCAGAAAGAGTATATGTATGCCCACGTTCATAGCAGCACTATTTAGAATAGCTAAGATGTGGAAACAGCCTAAGTGTCCATCAGTAGATGCATGGATAAGAACGCAGTGGTACATATACACAATGGAGTACTATGCTGCTGTAAGAAAGAAAGATCTCTTATCCTTTGAGACAAGACGGAGGGACCTGGAGAGTATTATCCTAAGTGAAACAAGATAATCAGAGAAAGACAAATATCACATGATCTCACTTATTTGTGGAATATAATAAACAGAACAAGCTGACCAGCAAAATAGACTCAGAGACACAGAAGTAGGGTTCAAACTGACAAACCTCAGAGGAGATGGGTATGGGGGAGGGAAATGATAAACCAAAGAACTTGTATGCATATATGTATAACCAATACACATAGACAACAATGCTTTTGGGGGGGGGGGAGGCAGGATCTCGATGAGGATGTCAATGGGGGAAAAAAGAGAAACATCTATAACAAAAATAGATCAATTAATAAAAAAAATAAATAAAACTGTTTGGAGAGAGACTTGAGTATTGTTTGAAAGTTTATTAAAAATGTTCAAAGAAATGAAACACTGGTTTGTCAGGCTTTTTTTTATTTTTTATTTTACATTACTGGATCTTGGTGCAGTTTATTTTCTGAGGGAAAATGGTTTGATAAAGCTGATGGACTTTTCCCCAGTCTACCTCTCTGTTTAAAAAATCGTCTACACAGGAACATGTCACAAACCTTATTCTGCCATTCTGTTGCATTGATTTCAGAAACCAGTAGGTGTATTAATTGGAATAGGTCAGAATAGCCAGTATCATATGCTCTAACAGTTAAATCAGATTCCTTTGCAAACCCATCAGCATTCTGGAGAGGATCAGGGAAAACTTTAGTTAGATTTCTTAATTTTGTTCCAGTCCAAGGCAAATACACAAACGTTGGTTTCCCTCTACTCGAGACAGGCTTTCCCTGAAAGGAGCTGTTAGAATTCCTGAATTACCTTTGTCTAAATTTGTATTTTCATCTTCCCGTATGTCAGTAGGAATGATAGTGGAGGAGATATAGAAGAAGAAGAAGGGAGTTGGAGGACAAGTCTGCACAAGGAAGCTTGAAGAGCAAAGGTTAGTGGAGGAGCTATATAGAAGGTGGAGGAATAGGGTCTTAGCATTTATTGGCTTCAGAAGCCTTCTTTAGTTCAGAGATGGTCTCTAAAATTTTCTTATTAAATTCCTGTAGGGAAGATATTTTATCTGATCACCTCCTAGAAGCTTATAATTTTCAATCAAGATAAACTTCCCATTCATTCAATTTAATTTTAGAACTGGCTTTTTGTAATTGAGCACGCAAAAAAAATCAATTTGGAGGTGTCAAAATTTCCTCACTTTGGCCATTTCAAGCTGATACTGTTTTAGTTAAATGTTACCATTTCTGTAAATACTTACAAATTGAGATTCTGTACAAATTTTACATGTACCTTGTGGGATTATTAATGGGGGGGGCTGAGATTTTTGAGGTTTATACACCTTAGAAGTGCAATTTCCCATTTTAATTTTAGTCTTTCTTTGTATATCTGCAGTCTCTGCAAATTTTCTAGGGATGTTATGTAATGGGTTGAAGTGTGCTGCTTATGAGTTGAGCTCCACAAGGCTCTCACCCCTCTAATCACATTCAAACCTCTTACATGCCTTGGTTTCTCTCCCGGCTGTCTAAATCAACCAGAAGGGCTTAAGGTGATGGTTGACCAAACCTTATGGGCACTCCCCCACATAAGCCTGTAAGTTTAATTACAGTTGAGTTGGAATTTCCCTATGGGGCCTCTGCATGTAATGAAGAACGACCTCTGAAAACTCCACAAAGATTCTTAGTCACCTAAGAACACCCGAGATTCAGGCTGGAGGGAGGGCATGCCCCTTATTTTCAGAGTTCAATGAGTTCAGCTCTCATTTATGCAGGGAAGATTTTTGATCAGACTCTCAGAAAGCAATTACAGTTGAAAAGTCAACATCAAAACCAGCCATCCGTTTCAACTCCTATCTTTTAGCTCCACCTTGAGGATTTTCTAAGAACTGCTCAAGTAAAGTCAGACCCTCTACAAGAAGGGAAGGTTCTAAATCCAAGAAGACAACTCGCCCAAATACACCCAATGTGGTGGGAAGCCTGTGGGGCTCAATGGGTTCCTTGCTGGATCCTAGCACAGGATCTGGATCCACAGGGTGGTCCCGGGTGAGCTTCTTTGGAATCCTGCCACACTACACCAAGTAAATTTCAACATAAGAAACATTCTAACCTGTGAAGAATTTTTTTTTTTACTTTATTTGAGCCAAACTGTCAACTAGTGCCAGGAAACAAAATCTCAACAGATTGAGATTATGCTCCGGAGAATGGCAGTTTTGTACCTTATTTTATACATTACAATCAAAAGAGGAGATATAAGTGGGTTACATGAAATCCATTAGTGATAGATTAGGGAGGCAGGAAAAAGCAAAGCGGGGAAACCTCTGGGATTAGATAAGAAGAAAAATGGTAGACATAGTTCTTTTACATAGGTGAGTATAGAATAGTTAACAGTCAACAATTAACTCAATAACAATGAGGGGATTTGTGGTTGCAGCAGAGCGGTTCCTGTGCTTTGAGGGGTCTGAAAAAGGAAAATTACTTTGACATTCAGAGATATGTTATTGTAGATGCAAAAAGACAATGGATAGGCTCAGTTAAGGTAACAATTGACCTTTGCCAGGGAAGATACTGGCCTAGGACATGACTATCCACCATAAACTGCTTTTAGTTGAAAAGTTTTAATTTTAGACCATCCTTTGTGGTTATTTTACATCTCTGAGTTTGTAAGGCCATCATGCAGGCTTCCCCTGAGCTTATCAGGTTTAGTATGTGGCCTCTTTTCATCCACATGGTGCAAGTTATTCAGATGGCATGTGGATATGGGTTAGGGAGGTAAGACTCCCTCAAGGAGCCAAAATGGAAATTTCTACAACCAGCTAACATTGTCATATGACCTTTTGCCCAATATAGCAATTTTCAAAGACTTTCTGATGGCAGTCACAAAAAATTTAGAGGTCAATGTATTCCCACTCTGATTAGTGGGTGTGATGTCCAGCAGGAGCCTATCAAATCACATGTAACCGGGTGTGACTTAGTGACAGTCTCTCCTCACTGAATTTCACCCAGTCAGATAGTGAAAGGCCCATGACTTCAGGGAATGCAGCAACAATGAAAAGGGCAGCAGTGTCCTCCAGCAGTCACCATTGCCTTCCTCACAGGTGGTAGGGAAGCCACCTCTGACTTGGTTGAGCCTGCCTCTGAGGTTTTTTTCAGAGAAATTCCTGAGCACCAACAAGCCCAGGGAAGTAGTCCAAAAGATACTGGAGCAGAAGCCCAGGGATGTCCTTCCCTATCCAACTCCAGCCTTGGGTGTCTCCTCTTAAGTTGAAAAGCACTTTCCAGACACAAAAAGAGTTCAGCTAAAATTCCAGCCCTTATTCACCTTAGATCACTTCAGACCCTGTGTTTTCATTTCTTCATTTTTGAGATATAAGGCCTAGTCCACATGACCTCTTCCCCCAAAGGTTCTCAAATTCTATCATTCCAGCTCTACAGAAAATCACCTAGCATTCCCAAATCAGGACCTATTTTATCTAGACAAAAATGTACTGTTTCCATGTGACTTGTCTGCTAAAGCAGCTTTCCTGCACCCATTTAAAAAAAATTTTTAAATTGATTTTAGAGAAAGAGGAAGGGAGAGGGAGAGAGAGATAGAAACATGGATAAGAGAGAACATTGATTGACCACTTCCAGCATGCCCCCCACTTGGGATTGGGCCCACAACCTGGGCATATGCCCTAACCAGGAATCGAACCTGCGACCTCTTGGTGCATGGGTCGATGCTCAACCACTGAGCCACACTGGCCGGGCTACACCCATTTTTTTGGTTGAAAAGTGTACCCTTGTGTTCTTCCTTAGAATACCACCAAGAATGGACCACAGGAGCCTTAACACAGTGATTATATGCATTATTTTATTGCTACATTAGATATGAAACCAAACTGTGAGAAGCTGCAAAAACATGCCACTTCATGAAGATTGTGGAGCAATGAAGACATCCATTGTAGATGGTTACAAGTGGCTTATCCTATGAGGGATTCAAGGTCATCAATGTGAGATTATTGACAGCACCTGTCAGCTGGAATTTATGCACCAATGAAAACGTTTAAAATGTGGGTGAGGCAACACTGGTTACCCCTGACCTCTTAGCTAGGAAGTATGGGTGAGAAGACATCAGAAGATGCCTAAAATCTCTACAACACAAAGGTTTACCAAAAAAAAAAAGCACAAAACTAAGACACTCAGGCAATGTTGAAATTTGCTCTTAGGAGAAGATCCTCATTTTACAATGTTTGAACACACTCTTTCTCCTGCTGGATAGCTGGGGAGAAAAACAAACACAAAAAAATCATTAAGAAGGCATTTTCCTAAGATTAAGTTCAGTTTTTTTTCCAAAAAGGCCCTTTGCCAAGTCATTGAAGACTACCAACCTGCCTTAAATTTAGAATGCCAAGGCACTAACCACAAATCCTCAGTCATGTGTGTGTTCTTTGTGTATCTGCATGGGCACTTTAATGACTTGAACATTAATTAGACTCTACATGAACTGTGTGTTTTTTCTCCTATTTGATAGATTCATACTGTTGTCATTTTTTCCATAGTTATTCTGAGAATGAGGAGCAAGTATTTATCACTATACAATTAGGTTTATCTATCACTGTATAATTAGGAAGTTATGCTCTTAGACAATTTTGACTAACATTAGAAATTTCAAATAATGCTATCATGATAAAACATGCCTCTTGGCTTGGAATATCTACAGCACACTGTAACTGAGAAGGGCAAAAGTGATCCCTCTAATCCCTGGGAGACAATCAATATGTATACCCAAGATATAAACTGGTTCTCCCACTTCATCTTGTCATCATTTAGAGAAGGCTATACCCACAGTGTGCATGGCCTTTTAGAGATGAGATCACAGATCCAAATTGCTAGATGCAGAAAAATGCCAAATAACCAAAAATTGGACAAAACTAAGATGTTTCCATTGCTAAGTCCAATATTCCAAGATTGGTTTAATTGCAGTTTTTACTAATTTTTCAACAAAACCTAGTTTTGTTTTGTTTTTTATTCCCCCATTACTACTAGGTCCTATTTTGTGAGAACTACTTACATATGCCAAGTTAAAAAACCATCTTATATTTAAGCCTGGCCTGTGTGACTCAGTGGTTGAACATTGATCCATGCACCAAGAGGTCGCCAGTTCGATTCCTGGTCAGGGCACATGCCCAGGTTGTAGGTCCAGTTGCCCGTAGAAGGCATGCAGGAGGCGACCAATCAATGTTATCTCTCATCATGTTTTTATCTCTCTCTCCCTCTCCCTTCCTCTCTCTCTAAAATCAATAAAGAAAAAAATATCTAAAAAGCTATCTTATTTTAAAATGGTACATTAAATACAGTGATATTCTATTGCTTAATTTGTGGCAAATTTTACTAGAAAGGTTTATTTACTGAATGTATCGATTTTCACCATTGTTTGTCTCAACTAGAAAGCCCCAGTGACTTACTTTCCTTTGAGGGGAGAGTATTTTTTTCTTCAGTATTAGTTTTCTTCAGTTTTGATCTGTCAAACTTCTCCACCTCAGACAAGTCTGGCTTATCACTCATCTTGACTAACAAAAAGACTGAAAAAAACAACAACCAGAAAACAAACTTTATCTGGTAGAACTATTACCACACTAAGGAGTAATAGCTAATATCAATGTGTACTTTACCCACAGATTTTGAACAAGAAATAGCACACATCTTAGAAAAGTCATGTTTTTATTAAAATATTTTGAATTCCATATCATCATTATCCCATTTCTGATAGACAGTAAATGCCACTGGATCAGGATATACCAGAAATCAAGATGCTCTAGAAACTCAGAGCCAATATGTCTGACTTGTAAAATCAAAACAGAGGTAAAATGGAAGTGATAAGCACAACAACAGATAGAGATAGGAGAAAAAATAAAGACTGGGTTTCACTAGTTAATGAATTTGTCACAGGAGATGGCACTATTTGAGCATCTTCACTTCATATTTAACTACTTTGAAGGGAGGGTATTTTTCTTGGAGGGTAGGAAGCAGCATACAAAAAAAAAGGTAGCATAAATTGGGCTAGTTTTTATCCATTTTATCTGCTCAAAGACAGTAGATTAAGGAGCTACAATAAAAGAGGAAGGAATTTAATCCAGTCATAACTAATTACACGTCTCATTATAGCTCCTTGTGTCACTGGTTTGTAAATACTGTCAGAAGGTACAGCTAATTAGGGTCAGACCATAGACTTCAGCAGAATGGGATAAAACAAATAGACTTGACTTTTATTTTATTTCACCATGTTTTCTCTGCAGAGGAAGAGGCGAGGAGATGAGATGCCCTGTCACTATTCCAGGGGTTTGTCACCAAGAGACAATAGGAGACCCCAGAAAGCAGAGCTCTGATGCACATGCTTGACCCCACCCTGGAAGGGGCAATGCACATCTAGTGCCCAGGGTAGAATGGAGAGGCCCCAAGCAGCCAAAAGTCCCCAATATACCTCCTTTTCCTCTATGTCACCCTAAGATCCTCCCTTGGCCAGTGAGGAAACAGGGACTTCAAATAAATAATAACAAGGCTGGGCACATAGGCCAGTTTGTTGGCAGTAGTTTGCTTACATTTTAAATAAACTATCATTGTTGTCGGGCGCCCAGCCTAACCTATTGGCCACAGGAGGGGAGAAAATGAAAGACCAGCTTCCAAGGGCCCGTTCCGGACCCAAATCTCTTGTCCTCTAAGCATCCGAAGCCACAGCAGAGGAGCCGCTCTGGGGGCCGTCCCCTCAGGCCTTCTAGAGCCCCAACCTGGAGAACTCGGCTTCAGGCGTAGAAGGCGGTGCCACCGCAGACAAAGGCGCGGACTCTACAGGAGGTGCAGATCTGAAACACCAGTCCTAACCCGGCCTCCCCAGTTCTCGAAGGCCCGATAGTCCCCACCCTGTGGCCGCCGCGCCTTCCTGTCCCCAGAGTCTTCTGGCTGCTTAGAAGCTGTATGTCCTCACCTGAAGGCTGGAAGACGGGAGAAAGGTAGACGGCTAGGGGGAGACCACTCAACACACCGGCCGACGTTGGCCTTCCCGCCCGGAATCTAGCAAGTATAAGCCCTGGAGCAGGCCCTGCCCCTGATCCCGCCCCAGCCCTCTACGATTGGCCAGGGTATCTTAGACCCACCGCTTTCCCCTCCCACCGCTCTAGCCTTGCAGGCCTGTCTGCTGTATCCCCTCAGGAACTCACCTCCTGAAACAGGGCTTTAATGACGTTGTACCAGACCCGCCTCCCTAGATCTGGTCCAAGCCCTCTCTGATTCATCCAGAAATGGATCACCTGCAGGCCTGCCCAGCATCTCCTGCTACTTCCTCTTCCCTTCTACCTTCTTCCCAAATATACTCACTCCTGCACGATAATAGGGACAAGCAGAGGCTTCTTCCCCAGTTAGCTTAGAAAGTCTGTAACTCTGAGATCGAAGCTAAAAGGAGCCCTGGTTAGGCTTTCTTGACTTTTTATAGCCATAGGAGCCTAAGTATCCTGCGACTACCAAACAGTGATTTGGAAATAATGCTGTGTTGTTTGTTTTAATCTTGGCCAGGTCATGGAGGAGGTGTGCTCATGGACAGGGTGGGTAGTTCAGGATCATTCACTCCATAGCTAGACATTATTGAGATAGTGGTGCTCTTTTATGTAAAAGTCACATTTTCAGTTTTCTCAGCCACAGGACATGGTGGTAGTCAGTTTAGGGTAATCAGAAGAGAATTTATTGAGACTATTCATCTTTATATCCTAATTCCTAGCACTTTGGTTGTCCCACAGAAGACACTAGATAAATACTTGTCTGTAGACTGAAGTAATAAATCCACTGTAGAGCAGAAATTTTGGACAGCAGACCCACCCAGTGTCTATGTTGGGGAAGGGGAGAGTGGAGGTACAATAATTACTTGAAAGGACTAAATCTTCAAGGTCATTTTCTGGATACTCACCCAGAACCTTAGACCATTGCAGTAAAATGGAAATAGGACTATGTCTTTAGCTTGCATCCTATATTTTTCGTTTGGCTCATGTATGGTGGTAGAGTTCCACATAGATCAGCAATCACTCCAACACAAGGATTTCTCAAGACTTCCTCACCTCTCTCCATTCTCTTTTCTGTGGTCTTGTAGCACATTGTGTTAATTTGAGAAGATTGTATGTTGGAGAAACTTTTAAAAGAGAAAGGCAGATTCATTGAACAAATATATTCATTAAGTATCTATAATGTCCCAAGCATTAAAAACAATAAACCAGTGTTTCTGCCACTCAGATTTGAATGTTAACATTTGGGTATATTTACTTTGTCTTTTTTAAGGAATAGAAACATTACAGAGAAATTGAGGCATCCTTGACCCTAGCCCCATAGCCATCCACCTTCCCACTGCCCCAGGGGTAATCCTATTCTGAATATGAAGTGTAGTTTCAAGCCCACTTTTTCTATCAATACAGATTTTTATGATCTCTGGTCCCAGGAGCAATATGGAGCATTGTGTGAACCAGTGCTCCAGGCATAAGACTGAACTTCCACATCACTTGGGGTGGACAGGAAACGCCAGTCACCAACCACCCCTTCCCTAACCCAAACTTCAAAATCCTGCCACCCCTATCTGCCTTGAATTTATTAGAACTCATCCAGTGATGATGTTCATTCCCATTTGTAACTGTACCACAAGAAACCCAAGATCCTCAGGACACCCCTCAACACCTCACAACCTCCACTAGGCTGTGACCACATTCCCTCTTTAGTTCACTTCTCACACCTCTCTCCTATTCCTCTAACACAATGCATATTCGATAATTTCTCTACATACTCAACCTCTTCTCTAAATCTGTCCTTCATGGTCTTTTCCCCTAGCAGAAACCAGGCTCTTCCCTGAGGTCTATGTGTCCTCTGAAGCCTACTCAAGACAAGCAGATGATATTTCTCTTCAACCACCATTGTACCACAGAGCCTGAAGTTCCAGTAAATGTCTTCCTTGTTTCTCATTCCTGCCTTTAGACCATCCCCTTCCTATTTCCCGCAAAACTTTCAGCTTTTGACAGCTTGTCACCGACTAGTCTTCTTTGTTTTTGTCATCTACCAAACTTCAGTTTTCCCCCTCCTTATTCCTCAAGGATTTTAGATCCTGGAATGCAGTCATTCTTGTTGATAGTAGTCCTATCTTAATTCCTGGGGAGTTCAAGAATGATCATTCTGACACACTGGCTTATTCAGTTCCTTGAACATTTCCCCTCCATGACATCATCCTTGACCCCATCTCAGCTACTCACTCTCATGGATATAACCTAGGCCTTATCATAACAATTATAGCAGCCCCTACATAATTCAACTTCAAACATACTTCTCTATTACCATCACCTCTTTTTCTTCCAGCTCCCTTTGGTACCCAGACCCCACTATCCTTCAACCTCACCAGAATCTTCAGTCCATTGGCTCTACCAGCTTTTCACCATCTCTTGCTCTTACTGCCTGTCTTCACTCCTCTCCTTTCCTAACTCAAATGGCATGCTTAATCTTTATAATTACTCCTTTTACATATATACTCTCCTTTCCCTCTCTCACTTTGTGTTGCTTTCCTGGCAAAATCATAACTTTGGCTAAGTCTAAATACACCCCTAGAAGCCTAAAGGCACACACCTAAACTTGGAGGAAACTACACAATCACGTGACTAATGTCAGTTTAAATTTTATGACCATGAACCTCAATCAGAGCCTTAATGCTACCAGGCAAAAACTCTATAGCTTTCCTGTCCCTTAATTTTGATTTAAAATTTACTATTTCACAAGTTCTCTCTCCTCAAACTCCCAACACCATCTCCACATTCCAATTTTTCACTTCTTTATTTGTCAATTCATTTTTGTTATAGATGTTTCTCTTTCCCCCCCAGACACCCTCCTCCCCATCCTTCCCCCCACCCCCACTCCCAGCATTGTTGTCTATGTTCATTGATTACACAAACCTGTATATAAGTTCTTTGGTTTATCTCATCTATCCCCCCCGCCCCCAAGGTTTGTCAGTCTGAACCATATTTCTTTCTATGTCTCTGTCTATTTTGTTCATCAGCTTATGTTGTTCATTATATTCCACAAATAAGTGAGATCACGTGTTATTTGTCTTTTTCATATTGGCTTATTTCACTTAACATAATAATCTCCAGGTCCCTCCATGTCATCTCAAAGGATAAAAGATCTATCTTACAGCCGCATAGTGTTCCATTAAATATATGTAACACAGGTTTTTATCCACTCATCTATTGATGGACATTTGGGGTGTTTCCAGATCTTAGCAAATATAGAGTGCTGCTATGAACATAGGGGTACATATATTCTTTCTGATTGGTGTTCCAGGCTTCTTAGGATATATTACTAAAAGTGGGATCACAAGGTCAAATGGCATATCAATTTTTAATTTTTGAGAAAATACCATATCATTTTCCATAGTGGCTGCACCAGTCTGCGTTTCCACTAGCAGTATACTAGACTCCCCTTTTTCCCACACCCTCACCAGCACTTGCTTGATGATTTGTTGATGGTGCCCATTCTGGCAGGTGTGAGGTGATACCTCATAGTTGTTTTAATTTGCATCTCTGATGATTAGTGGCACTGAGCATTCTTTCATATGTCTCTTGACCATTTGTATGTCCTGTTTGGAGAGGTGTCTCTTTAGGTTCTCTGCCCATTTTTTAATTGGGTTTTTTGTCTTTCTTATGTTGAGTTGTATGAATACTTCATATATTTTGGAAATTAACCCCTTATTTGATGTATTGTTGAAAGTTATGCTCTCCCCTATAGTGGGTTCCCTTTCCATTTTGATGGCTGTTTTTAGTTGTTGTTGTTTTGCTGTGCAGAAGCTTTTTAGTTTGATGTAGTGCCATATATTCATTTTTTTTCTGTTTCTCTTGCCTTAGGTGTTGTATCAGTGAAAATTCTGCTTTATATGATGTCTGAAATTTTATTGCCTACATTTTCTTCTATGATTTTTATGGATTCACAAGTCACATTTAAGTCTTTTATCTATTTTGAGTTTATTCTTGTGTATGGTGTAGTTGCATGTAGTTGTCCAGTTTTCCTAACACCATTTATTAAAGAGGCTGTCTTTACTCCATTCCATTGTATGCTCTTGCCATCTTTGTCAAATATTAATTGAGCATAATGTCATGGGTCTATTTCTGGGTTCTCTGTTCTGTTCCATTGATCTATATGCCTATTCTTGTGCCAGTACCAGACTGTTTTGATTACGTGGCTTTGTAGTATAACCTGATATGTGGTATTGTGATCCCTCCTACTTTGTTTTTTCTTTTTCAAGATTGCTGTGGCTATTTGGGGTCTTTTTTGGTTCCATATAAACTTTTGAAATATTTATTCTAGTTCTGTGAAATATGTCATTGTTATTTTAATGGGGATTACATTGAATCTATAGATTGCTTTGGGTAGCATGGACATTTTAATCATGTTAATTCTTCCAATCAATGAAGAAGATATGTGCTTCCACTTTTTAAAATCTTCCTCTATTTCCTTTTTCAATGTCCTGTAGTTTTCTGCAAATAGGTCCTTTACTTCTTTGGTTAAGTTTATTCCTAAGTATCTTATATTTTTGCCGCAATGGTAAATGAAATATATATATATATATATATATATATATATATATATATATATATATTTAGATTCTCTTTCTGTGAGTTCATTATTGGTACATAAGAATGGCGTCACTTTTTTTTTTAATGTAAAGTTTGTATCCTGCTACTTTGCCAAATTTGTTGATTAAATGGAGTAGATTTTTGATGGAGTCTTTAAGGTTTTCTATGTACAATATCATGTCATCTGCAAATAATGACATTTTCACTTCCTTCTTTCCAGTTTGGATTCCTTTTATTCTTTCTTCCTGTCTAATTGCTGTGGCTAAGACTTCCAGTACTATGTTAAATAAAAGTGGTGAAAGTTGACGTCCTTGAATTTTCCTGTTCGTAAGGGAAATGCTTTAAGTTTTGCCCATTGAGTATGATGTTGGCTGTAGGTTTTTCATATATGGCCTTTTCCCACATTGCTGAGTATTTTTATCAGCAATGGGTGCTG